AGAAATGGGAGAGAAAGAGAAGCAGAATGGTCCATGTGCTGTGGGAAAAGGCAGAAAGGAAGAAATGAAGGCAGTTTGGAGCAGACAGATGTAGGAGGCCTACTTCCAACCTGGGGACATGGTAATGTCTGGGCAGGGCTGCTGCCAAGGGCCATATATGGGACCCACACATTCTTTTTTTTAAATGTTTTTTTTTATTGTTTTTACTAAGCTATACAGTTCCCCACTCCCCTCCCCTCCTCCTCTCTCCTCTTTTATCCTCTCCTGTGACCCCCACACTTTCAGTTTACTCAGGAGATCTTGTCTTTTTCTCCTTTCTATGTAGATCCATCTATGTCTCTCTTAGGGTCCTCTTTATTGTCTAGTTTCTCTGTACTTGTGGCCTGTAGGCTAGTTTTTCTTTGCTTTATGTCTAAAAGCCACTTAAGAATGAGTACATATTATATTTGTCTTTCTGGGTCTGGGTTACCTCACTCAACATGGCTTTTTCTAGATCCATCCTGCAAATTTCAAGATGTCATTTTCTTATTGCTGTGTAGTACTCCATTGTGTAAATGTACCACATTTTCTTTATCCATTTCTCGGTTGAGGGGCATTTAGGTTGTTTCCAGGTTCTGGCTGTGACAAACAATGCTGCTATGAACATAGTTGAGCACATATCTTTGTTGTATAATTGGGCATCTTTTGGGTGTATACCCAACAGCAGTATTGCTAAGCCTTGAGGTAGATTGTTTCCTAATTTTCTGAGAAATTGCCATACTGATATCCAAAGTGGCTGTACAAGTTTGCACTGCCACCAGCAATGGAGGAGTGTCCCCCTTACCCCACATCCTCTCCAGCTTAAATTGTCATCATGTTTTTGATCTTAGCTATTCAGACAGGTGTCAGATGGAATCTCAGAGTTGTTTTGATTTGCATTTCTCTGATGGCTAATGATGTTGAGCATTTTCTTAAGTGTCTTTCAGCCCTTTGGGATTTGTCTGTTGAGAATTCTGTTTAGGTCTGTACCCCATTTTTTTAAAAATTGTGTTATTGGTTCTTTCTTGAGTCTTTTGTATATTTTGGAGATCAGTCCTCTGTCCGATGTGGGGTTGGTGAAGATCTTTTTCTATTCTGTAGGCTGCCATTTCGCCTTATTGATCATGCCCGTTGCTTTACAGAAGCTTCTCAGTTTCAGGAGGTCCCATTTATTAATTGTTTCTCTCAGTGTCTGTACTACTGAGGTTATATTTAGGAAGTGGTCTCCTGTGCCTATGTATTCAAGTGTACTTCCCACTTTCTCTTCTATGAGGTTCAGTGTGGTTGCTTTTATGTTGAGGTCTTTGATCCATTTGGAGTTGAGTTTGATGCATGGCAATAAATATGGATCCCTTTGCATTCTTCTATATATTGATATCCAGTTATTCCAGCACCATTTGTTGAATATGCTTTTTAAAATATTTTTAGCTTCTTTGTAAAAAATCAGGTGTTCATAGCTGTGTAGATTGATACCAGGGTCTTTGATGCGATTCCATTGGGGACCCACACATTCTTGACAACATCTCACACTGTCAGATATTTTTATATTTTTTCCATGTGAGTGTGATGAGTTGCATCATTTAGGTTTCAGTAATGCATTCTAAATATTAAGTTAAATGAAACATCTTTTACACTTGTTGGTCATGCTCTTCTGATATAAAGCTTAGTATCCAGTACATGTTGATAACCAGGGAGTATCACTCCTTCATTTTAGGAAGCTCGGTTCACAGCTCACCTCTACTTTACCAAAGCCATTTCTTCTTAGGTGTTACAACTCTGCCCTTCTAAGAGTTATGGATCTCTTGAGCCTTCTTCTTTCTACTCCCATCCCGTGTGATAGGAATTCTTGCTACAGACTCTCAACACACATGTAGTCTGCACACCTCTTTTCATTTGGACTCCCTCCACCTGGGGTGCAAACTATCACAGCGAGTCTCATGGCTTTACCCTTACTTGCTGTCTAGTCTCCAAACATGGGAAGGTCATGTGACAACTGTACACATCCCAGGATGCTTGCTAACACCTTCCAGAGTAAAATTCGAAGCCCTTATAGTGGCCCAAACAATCTTACAAGACAACAATATTAAGAATATTAATATTTTTTCTAAATTTAAAAATTACATTTTTTTGTTTTGTTTTTTGAGACAGGGTTTCTCTGTGGTTTTGGAGCCTGTCCTGGATCTAGCTTTTGTAGACCAGGTTGGTCTCGAACTCACAGAGATTCGCCTGCCTCTGCCTCCCAAGTGCTGGGATTAAAGATGTGCGCCACCACCGCCCGGCTAAAAATTACATTATTTATTTGTGTGTGTATATGCTCATGGGCCACAGGTTACATGTGGAGGTCAAAGGACAATTTGAGGGAGTTGGTTCTTTTCTCCACCACATGAGGCCTGGGGATGGAATTCAGGACATCAGGCTTAGCAACAAATGCCTGGAACTTACTGGTCTAATTCATTTTTAACTGGTGTATGTTCATTGCACATCATTATAGGTATCACGATGGTGTTTTCTTTCACATATACTTTTATCGTTTGCACTTTCAGGCACTCCTTATCCTTTCTCCTTTCCCTCCTGCTAGTCCCCTTCCTCCCTCCAGATGATCTTGCTTTTTCTTACTTGTCGTGTGTATATAATATTTTAGGTATCAATAGAAAACTCATGATCCACAAATGAGTAAAAAAAAACAAGGCACACTTATCCATGTCTGACTTATTTTTACCCAAGATTAATCTTGAAGAGGGATGTGGGAAAAGGGTATTCATTAAGAGTAGAAGATGCAATTGAAGAGGACTTCCGCACAGTGGGGGCTCCCTTTCAGACCCCAGATTGGGTACAAACATCCAAACGCCTGTTTTCACAGAGGAATCCTTTATTAAATGGAGAAGAAAAGTTAAAGTGTCTGCATGGTAAAGGAGATGGAGGATAAGGGAGAAAGGGAAGTGGACAAGGGAAAGGGGCAGGGATATTTATCCTGGAGGGACAAAGGATCGAGAGGAGACAGATGTGGCACATAGGCAAATGGCGGTTTAATAAAAGTAAAGGGAGAAACCTCATGTTAGGGCGATTTTAACTGGGCATGTTGTTTAGGCAAACCAAAGGGGAATTCTGATTGCTGGACTCTGGTAATCAGCCCGGGGAGGAAGTGGCTAAATAAGTGAATGAATAAGACCTTGGTGGCTAGCTTTAGGAATGTAGTCTAACAGTTTTTAGCAAGGCAGAGGGAATAGGGAGAAGGGTAAGGCCTGCCAGAGCCACATGCTTTAGTGGCCTAGCATCTCTTCAGTAGTGGGCTGCCTAACTCCCGCTTGCCTCAGGCTTCTTTTTACTGACCACAGGAGTTGCTAGGAGACACAGGAAGGACAAGCGCTAAGGCACAGGCCTTTCCCCAATAGTGTCATAATTTTGAGTTTCCTATTGGATGGAGCATATCACAGGATCAGGGCCAGACTTAAGGGTGACTGGTTCTCACTGGAAGAAAGGCAAAGCCATAGGACAGATGGGTGGGCCAAGGTGTCTGATGCGGGAGTGGGGGTTTGTGTCTATTTTTGAAGCTGACCTTCCTGGGATACGTTTCAGAAGTGGCAAAGACAGCAAAACTACCAAATAAAAGGTGGGTAAGCCTCCATGAATAGCTCCGTAATAGAAACATAAAGGTTTAATTGGTTGCAGTATCCGATTGGAAGGATGTGAACTATTGTCCGCTTTCACTTTCTGGAATAGATGCCCACTGACACACTCTTTGAAAGCTGATGTGTTTATCCTTTCATTTGGACAGATTTACCCAGAGATCATCTACATCAGTTCAATTGGGCATTTAACCTAGCTCTCAGACTATGGGGTCCAGAAAGAGAGACCAAGACTCTAGTCTACTAGTTCTTTAGGGTTGAGAAATTTAAAGACATATTAAAGGTGAACTGGTGTGAATTCTACCAGCTGGAAGTTGTTACTGGATGATCAGCCCGCTGTCTCTGGAACACAGACTGGGAGCATGCCTCAGGTACTCCAAGATCTCCTACCAAATGAACCTGGAAACACAATTACGAATATTCCTTTAAAACCTGGGTGGTGGCAGTCACACACGCCTTTTATCCCAGGATGCAGAGGCAGGTGGATCTCTGAGTTCGAGGCTAGCCTGTTCTATGGAGTGAGTTCCAGGACAGCCAGGACTACTTAGAGAAACCTGTCTCAAAAACAAACAAACCTAAACCAAACACTCCTTTAAATTAAAGACAAAAGAACTGCAGAATGGAGAGAAATTACAGTGTTGGGATATTTAGCAGTTCTCCAGATAAGCGCGTTGAAGCCTACAGAGGGTCATGAACTTGAGCTTCCCTGATCATCTGCAGGGCTGGGGACCGCGCTATCTCTGCCCTCCAGAAAGGCAGTGGCTCTTTTTATCTCCGCAGAGGAGCTGGGCTTCTAGCTTGCGCCTAGGGTGCTACTCTGCAACCTCTTTCCAGTTTTGCATCTGTTTGGGAGAGAATTTCTGTAGTAGACCCCAGTCCGTCTTGGCCCAGGATTTCAGGCTAGGCGAGCCTAGTGCTGAGCTTAGAAGCGGAGAGCAGGATTGATCAGCCTGAGGGTCATCCAAAAGCTTCAGCAAGCGAAAACGGGGAAGAGATGCACCTGTACCTGGATTTAACCACGCCTCCGAATCCTGCCCCCACCAAGGGTTCTGCCTCTAGACCCCTCCCTGCCTGGATCCTCGGCACCGCCCTTATTCCCAGCCCTGGACAATGGACAGCAAGACTGGACCCCAACACTGCAGGCCGAGCTACAAGATTTCGGGCCTGCCTCAGCACGTCCTGGGTCCTACAAACTCCGCCCCCATTCCAGCCACGCCCCCTCGCACCTTGCGACCCTCGGCCCAGAGCCCCAGGCGCGAGGCGCGCGTCTCTGACGTACGGCGCCCTCCGAGTGACGCACAGTCCCGCCCCGGCCTCAAGCCCCGCCCAGGCGGTGGCCGTTCCCCGCCTCCCGCAGCCCGAACCACTTCTCCAGGAGCTGAGGCGGCGGCTGAGGCGGCGTTTTCCGTGCTCGCTGCGGTCTGGTGGCGTTCCTGTCCGGCAACGAGCGGCTGTGCAGCCCCGGCACCCGCGGGCAATGGTGCGGCGGAGCGCGCGGACGCGGGCGGCCCTGCGGCGGGCATGAAGGAGGATGGAAGGGCAGGACGAGGTGTCGGCGCGGGAGCAGCACTTCCACAGTCAAGTGCGAGAGTCCACGGTGCGTGGCCGGGCGGTTCCCCTGGTCCAGACCAGCACGGTCCCCTAGCTTCTTCCCGGACCTCCCGGCCACAATGGCTTTCCAGCGCCCCACCGGGTCTGCTGCAGACCGACTCTGACGCCCCGCGTCACTTACGTCCTCTGTCACCTGCGACTCGGTCACCTGTTCCCCACCGCCTCACCTACGTCCCTCTCCTGTCACCCGCTGCCTTCTCCACCGGCGCTCCCTCTCTTCCGCTCTGTCCTCTCTTCACCTATGTTTCATCCCTACACCTGCGCTTCCAACCCCTCCTGTCATCTTTATCCCCCCCTCCTGTCACCTGAGTCCGCCTCCACTGCAGCCCCTCCAGCCACTTGTGTCGCCTCTCCTTCCCTGCACCCTCTCTCCTGTCATCTCTGTCCTTCATTCACCTGTGCCCACCTCTTGTCACTTGCAGTGCCCTTCCGTCACCTGTGTCCTCCCCTCCTGTCACTTGTCCCGGTCACCTACACTTGTACCCTTCCCATGTCTTCACGCACCTCATCTGCTCCTTTCACCACCTGCTTCACCATCTTCTTCACCTGAGGTTATCCCGCATCTGCTGATGGAGGGTGGAGGGTGATGGGTGGCTGTCGCTTTTCCTCTAGTCAGGTATGGTACCTGGACTGAGCTGGCTGTGGCTAAGGTGTAGGTGGTGCAGACTGCCCGGCTTTCCAAGCTTCCAGTCCGGCTGTGACTCTGGCCTCCCACTCACATCCCTCCCTCTGCTCCGTTAGCCAGGACAGCTAAAAACTTGCAGAGGAGGGAAGACAGGTCTCTCCTGGGAAGGGTGAGAGCAGAAGCCCACAGGGCACGGAAGCGGTTGCTCTGGAAAGGATGGGCCCGCTTCATCCTCTGCCTCTAGCAGGTCAGGATGCCAATTTGACTCCCTAAGTTCTCCTTTGATGAGCACCTTTCAGGGTACCCGACAGTGTATAAGCGGGTTTGTTCGTGTCTCCATATCTCTGGAACATATGCCCAAGTTACAAGTTTGCATCTGCCCCACGTTTAGCTCACTTTCCCTATTCAGTCACACCTTTGGTTTGAGGTGAGTAAATTCTGGTTCACAGTAGTCCAGCTTGTGCAGTTACTGACTTTGAAAATTGATTATATGGCAGTAAAAGGAGATGTATAAATCTGCGCTGATAGAATTAGGTATGCTACATTTGGTTTTATTTTTATTAATTCTTTGAGTAGTTTATAGAGTGTATTTTGATCATATTCACCCCTCGCCAACTTCTCCCAGGCCTAGGCCCATCTTCTCAACTTTGTGTCATTTTTAAAAACCCATTTGTGCTGCCCTTATAGTCTTAGGTGTGTGGACGTTCATTGGAGTGTGGTTGACTTATCAGGTACCACACCCTTAAAGAAAACTGACTCCCCCTCCCCCCTTAGCAGTTAGGGACCAGTCTTCATGCCCATCTCCCGTCTCCATACTGAGATTTTGTCTGCATTGAGCTTGCCCAGATTTTGTGTGTGTGTTTCACAACTGACCTCAGTTAATTGTACAACTATCCTGTTGTAACTGGAAAATACTGCTTTCTTATGGCCATCTACTGTGCCTGGCTCTTGTACTCTGTTTGTCCCCTCTTCCACAGTTGTTTTAAGCCTGAAGAAGAGGGAGAGTGATATGGAAGTCCTATGTAGGTCTGAGCGTTCATTTCTTGGTCTCATTCTCTGCACCTTGCCCTCTGTTAACATTATATACACAGAAAGCCTCTCTGATGCGGGTCGAAAGACTCACCAATCTGTGGATATAACAATAAGTCATCAGGAAGCAGTTTAATAAGATGTCTATTTAGCAGTGTTATAGTAGTAGGCTCTCTCTAGGGCCTATGACCCACCTAGCACAGGTTCTTGTCTCCAGGAGCGGTGCTAGGTATGGGTTTCCTTTCTTGGAGTGGGCCTTAAATCCAATCAGAAAGTGGTTGGTTACTCCCACAACATTTATGCCACTAGGAAGAAATATATAATTTTAAGTATGCTCTTGATACATTTCTTTATTCTTTTCTTCTTTTGTTGGGGAGGGGGTTAGAGACAGGTTTCCCAGTAACTTTGGAGCTTGTCCTGGAACTCATTCTGAAGACCAGACTGGCCTCAAACTCACAGAGACCTGCCTGCCCCTGTCTCCCGAGTGCTGGGATTAAAGGCATGCACCACAACCACTCGACTATTTTTTTTCCGTTTTTTGGATACTTTTTTTTACTAAACATACCCGACTAATCATGGTTTCAGATGCAGAAACAGTTTTATTACCGTGCCAGAGGCCCAGCTTTCCCCCACAGCTGTAACTTTTGTTTCCTCCAAGAGTAGCTGCTGCTCTGGCTTCTAAGGCCATAGGTTAATTTTCACCTTATTTTTTTAAAAATTCATATTATATATATGTGTATATATATATATATATAATTGTTTTGTCCTCATTTATGTCTGTATATCATGTATGCATCTGCTGCCCATGGAGGCCAGAAGAGGGCATCAGATCCTCTGGAACTGGAGTTACAAGGCATTGTGAGTTGTCCTATTGCTACTGGGCACCAAACATGGGTCCTCTACCACTGAACTACATTGCTAGCCCAGAGAAGTGGCAGGTTTGCTCATTCATCTGGATGTGGTGTATCTGGTGGTGGATATCTGTTAGCTCCTGAAAGTTCTGTCAGCGTGGATTCGATCTGGCAGAGTCATAAACCTGAGACATGGCTGGTACCGCAGCACAAGCATGCCCCTCAAGTTCTTAGGGCTGTCTTTGGAATCCCAGTGAGCATAGGTGGATATGTTGCAATGTGTGTGTGGTAATAGGCTGAAGTGCTTGTTTTGTGAAATTTGTAAGTATTACTCCTTGTTTTTTGCATGTGGGTGGATGTCTAGTTGGTTCAACAACATATATTATTTTCCTTATCGTATTATCTTTGTGCATTGTGAATGATCAGTTAACTGTATTATATGGTTATATTTCTAGTGTTCCAATTTTGTTCCATTGACCAATATGTAATTAATACTATACAATTTTGATTATTTAAGTTTTATTCTTTCTTACTTTACAAAAGTAATTTTTGTTCAAATTTTGCTGATTATTTTGGGTTTTGTCTCTTCACATAAACTTTAGAATCAATTTGTTTCTGTCTACAAAGTAACTTACTTGGATTTTGATTGGAATTGCTTTCAGCTTGTAGATCAAATATGAAGAATTAACATCTTCTTGTTCATGAACATGGGCTATCCTATCTCCCATTAATTAAAGTTGTTATTTTTAGATGTCTTTCATCAGAGTTTTATAATTTTTCTTATGACTATTTTGAATATATTTTGTTAGATATTTGGTTAAAATTCATACACACACACACATATTGGCATGCTAGTGTAAATGGTGTGTGATGGCTTTGACTTTAAATTTCACTTGTCCCTGGGCTGCTGGTAGCACACACCTTTTTATTTATTTATTTATTTTTCAAGACAGAGTTTCTTTGTCTATCCTTGACTGTTCATCTGTCCTAGAACTAACTCTGTAGACCAGGCTGGCCTCGAACTCAAAGAGAGTGAGTCTGCCTCTGCCATCCTAGTGGTGGTATTAAAGGCATGCGCCACTACTGCCTTTTTTTTTTTTTTTTTTTGTGGGGGATGCTGGCACACATATTTAATCCTAGCATTTCCACAGGTAGAGGCAGGCAGATCTGTGTTGTTTCAAGGCTATCTGCTGAGTTCTAGTCCAGTCAGGGCTTTATAGTGAGACCCTATCTCAAAACAAAAACAAACAACAACAAAACCCCAAAACTAAAATTGAGATCAAACCAAAACAAAAATTTCACTTTTCTATTCTGACATATAGGAAAGTGATTGACTTCAGTATATTAACCTTGCATCCTCCACTCTTGCTAGAAATATTTATTAAGATCTAGGTTTTTGTGTGTATTCATTGAGATTTTTCTGTATAACTAATAGAGATAGATACCTGTGTGCAAAGGCGATTTTACTTATTAAAGTCCTTTTTCTTCTTGCACTAACTAGGATTCCCAGTACTGTGTTGTTGATATGAGAAAAGGTGCTCTTGTCTTGCTGTAGATCTTAGGCAAGCGTTGCATTTCTCATTAGTAAGTATGTTAGTTATTGATACTTTGTAGATTGGTATTCTTTAGCTGTTGAGGAAGGATTTTAATTTTAGGTTCTTTAGTTTTTTAAAGTTTTATTTATTTTTATATAATTGGGGTTTTGCCTGAATATATGTGTGAGGATGCCAGATCTCTTGGTACCGGAGTTACAGACAGTTGTGAACTGCCAAGTGGGTGCTGGAAATTAAACCTGGGTCTTTTGGAAAAGCAACTGGTTCTCTTAACTGCTGAGCCATATCTCTAGCCCCAATCTTAGGATCTTTTAAATTTAAAATTAATATTTTTTCTTGTTTATTTGGTTTAGGTTTACTTTTTCTTTCATGATGAATTAATGTCACCCAGCTAAGTAGTGTTTTATTTATCTTTTTTTGTAAAGTTAATACATTTTTATTTAAGGGATTTCATATGTGATTTCCTCACTGTCCATCAAGGTCACTGAAATTCAAGATTTTTGAAGGTAGTCCTTTTTCAAAGAGCCAATGCTTAATTCAGTTGTGCTATCAGACCATAATTCTTTATTTCTCTATGCATTAAAGACAGACATATTCATGAAAACTTCAGAGTTCTCCATTGAAGAGTCTTTAAATCAATTTCTTCAATTTACTTTAGGAACCATGTTAGTGTAGGTTTGCCTCTCACTTGCTGACACTCCATGCCTCTAAAGAATGAGTTCAGACCATATTCATTCCTGTCACATTCAGAATACTATGGGTCTATGTGCAGGATATGCCAGAGTTACATTGAAGCAAACTCTATTCATAGGTGTCTTCAACTCTGACCTCATTCATTTTCAAGACAAGCCTTTGATATTCACATGTTCATCTCCTTTCCAGGGCTTTCTGTCCTCCGCCCAGTATTTTTGGCCTTAGAAGCTTTTTT